ATTTGGTGCTAGCATTCTCGTTGGTTCTCCACTTACATATTTAGATTTCAACAGCATCAGCACTTAGAAAATCTATCCAAAGCCCTCTGCCAAAAGTGGAGTTCTCCAGACATTCAAACCTTTGATGTGCAACCAAGAAACTAAAATCATTTTGTTTTAAGATTGAGCAGAATGTGCTTCAAAACCATATGAAACCTGATGGCAGATTTATTTTCCTATCTTATTAAAGTATTTTACTGCTATTGTTTTCATATGTTCCCCACCCAGAAATATCAAGGATAGGCAGAATTAAAAATCTAAATAAAGGACAAAGCAGAATCACACTGCTATAACTGAGAATGCATTCTAAACCCAGCCTATTTCAATCAAACCCCTAAGGTTGATGTATAACTCCACATGAACTAATCCACTAGGAAGAATAAAATAAAGCAATTTGCATAGAGGCTGCAGCATAACTGTCTTTCAAGAATAAACATATTAAAATACATAGGGTTGCACCCAAATGCTGCTGAGTGTGCCTTCACCTTCCTGTCCTGTCCTCTATAGTCCCCCACATCCCCAAAAAATCTGCTCCAGAGGGTTAGGGGGCAGGCCTCCAGAGCATATTTGAGAGTTCACAAAAGGCTGCAGTCCCACTGCACAAGTGCAGCTTCACTCGCACAGTACCGGATACAACACATGTATTTTCAATTAAAGATCTCATATTAGCTGGTAACAATTTGATGAAATGTTACAACCACACTAAAACCAGCATTTAAGGTCTAGGACTTCAGACCTTTGAGGGAAAACAAACAAAAGAATGTTAAGAATTTAAGGAATGTTTCAGCATTCGGAATACTTAGAAAAGATTATTTTGCCAGCCTTAAGACTGCATAGCCAGGAAGCACAAAAACAATACAAGAAGGCACAAGAGCTGAAGGGAAATGGGATAAGACTTCAACTCCAATAAGAAGGATGTTGGCACTTTTTGCTTACAAAGATTCTTAACTGCTACAAACAATAATCAAGTGCCGGCCAATTTTTCTATCACTGTTAAGCGTATTAAGGCATACAAATGAAAGAAAAATGGGAATCAGGGCTCAATTAGACTCAAACCTCACCACGATTTAGCCCTTGAAACTGTTTTTTGATTTTGACATTACTGCTCAGGTTCCGTCCTGCTGTTCATGAATGCTTTCCTCCTCACGTCTAAAGAACCACAGTCTGATCCCAATGAATGTGTTTCAGAGGACACAGAACTTTCAGTTAGACTTCAGCACTGTCCCCTCTGAGTCATAACCATTTAGATTGGGGAAAATCCAAAATAGTTTACTAATCACAATAATCAATAAAATGGATTTTTAAAAATACACCTGAAGCATTTATCCATTTGTTTTTGGATAAGGGATTGGAAAGATTTGCACTCAGTGTATCTTTAACTCCTTACGAAAGAATGCCTCCTTCCATTTACTTACTCCAAATAAGCCTTGCATTTCATTCATACTGCCAGGGTCAGCTTTGGTAGACCCCTTTTAGCCTCATCTTTTCTCAGGCTATTATTGGGAAGGAATATATTCTGAGATCCACAAGTAATTCTTCTCAGCTATGATATAAGCTGGCCTAAAGCCCATTAACTCTCACAGGACTAGCTCATCCTGCTACAATATCATATCACGCATTTATAGCAGGAACAGTTGCCAACTCTCATGGTTTCTTAAAGTAACAGCTGCTGAATTTTTCAGCTGACTTAAACAAACAATAAGTTCCAACTCAGATTTTGAGAAATAAATTGTGTCAACATTCTGTAGAAATTATTTTATTCAAACCATTACAGAGATAGAGTGGCTCACTGCCACTTATGCTCCAATCCAACCCTAGCTCAGCCCATTTCATCAACCACACTTTCTCAGTATATCAAGAAATGAAGTGGGCTCCACAGCACTAGAACGGGCCTTCAAGAGCAGTTGTGTCTCACCATTCCATAACGAAACTACGGCCTTGACAGGATCACCTGTTCTATCCATTGAAAAACCCCCACAGCAGTTAGGAATCTATCAGATTCCATCAGTCTCCAGCAGGTGGACCATCCTAACTGGTTCCCCACCCTTGCAGGGGAGAATTGTCATTGCAAGTCCAAATCTCACAAAGTGGTCTGACCATGATAATGGAGTGATATTCACCACCCTTTATTTCCAGACCACCCCTCTCCTCACATGAAGTGAAGACTAAATCAAGATTATGCCCTGTTCTGTGCCTTGGACCAATGACTATCTGAAACAGACCTATGGTTGCCCTGAACTTAGGAGCTAAACATAAGGAACCCTCACCATGCATGCTGAAGTCACCCAAACCACCTCTCTGGGTTCCTCCAACACGACGACCTCAGCCAGTTCAGTCAGGGAGGCTGTTGAATAACAAGACTATCAATGTCTACCAGCCATGATGGCTGCATACTACCTCCACAATCAGAAACCATATGCCTTTGGATACCAGCTGGATAACACATTTTAAAGGCCGTAGAATATTAATCAACCAAAGGCTAGAGAAGCATTTGGCAAAATTATAAAAGGAAGACTCAGAAGACCTAGTGGTGTCAGACAGTGATTGCAATGCATAAACAGCAGCTTCTTAGAAAGGGAAGAGGGCTATGTTCTTCCCGTTCCTCTACCTCAGTCTGGAGGTAGGTCCACGTAGGTCCTGCTTGCAAACTTCACAAATGGCTGACCGCTGTTAGAATAGGAAGTATTTAGAGCAAAGGACTAAATGGCCTTTTGGTCAGATACAACAGGGCTCATCTTGCACAGAAAGCCCCGGTTCAATACCTGGCATGTTCAGGTATTGCTGAGAAAGAGACCAGTCTGAAACATTAGAAAGTCACTGCCAGTCGGAATAGACAAAGCAGAACCAGATGAAACAATGATTTGACTATGACTGCACACATACTATACCTTTCAAGCAACTCTGAAGCACATTCTTTCCCTTCAGAGAATTATGGGCATTGTCTTTTACCCCTCACATAGTTATAATTCCCAGCAACACTTAACAAGCTATACTGCTCAGAATTCTTGGAGGGCAGAAATGTGCTTCAAAGGTGTAGTGTGTATGTAGCTTTGATGTAAGACAGCTTCATGCATTCATGGACAAATTCTGCAGACAGCTTTCCTCAAATTGGGTTGTGCAGGAGAACAGCTGGTAGTATGAAATGTTTGAATCACATCTACATATGTCATAAACTAAGAGTGGGGGACCTGTGACCCTCCAGATGTTGCTGAACTCCAACTTTCCTCTGCCTCAGCCAGCCAGTCATGGATGATAGGAGTTGTTGTAGCCCAACATCTGGACGACCACAAGTTCCCCACCCCTTCCATAAACAGTCAAAATTTAAGATTTCTCAAAAGGCGGTGAGCTATAACTGCATTGGAATTGCTGGAAATAGACAGGAGGGAGGCTGATATTTCTTGCTTGGCTGGATGTCCAGTTAACTCAAAGCAGAGATGAAATGCAGCAAGGAGAAACAGATGGGAGTGGATCCAAGCAAGTGGATAAGAAGCTGCTGCACAGAGGTTAGAGGAGCAAAACAGATATTTGTGACTGAGCAGAAGATACAGAGAGTTTAGAAGGGATGTGTGATTTCAAACGTTTCTGAAGATTGGTTAATGAGAAATATTATGAAGCATTACTTGAGTACATGTTATATATTTTCCCCATGACAGCCTTCTATTATGAGAACTGAAGATCTGAAAGGAATACCTGAAGTCAACCAAGCATGAAGCAAGATTAAATGTTGCGTTATGTTTTCCTACGTGGGCTACAAATAACTATGAAGAAAATTAATGTTGTTATTGTAACAGTGAATATTTTAAGATTATCCGCATTATGGCTACATCAGAACAAACCTTAAAATTATACACATGTAACCTAGCATGAAGCCAAAGTCCATTGAGAAGGCAACCTTGCCTCATGGCTTTTAGGACACTTACAGCTTCTGAACATTGTAGCAAGCATGCAGCTCTGACAAAACATAGTAAATCAATCTACCAATTAACAAAATAAAGTGAACAGGCAAGACTCTTCAAAGGTGTATGCCTCCCTTTAAGTTACAGATTAACTGTAAGGCCTCCATATAGCATACACCTTAGCTTATAGGATCTGCGTATCTCAGTACAAGTATATTCAAGCACAATATGTTTCAATGTCTACTCAGAATGGGGTATCAAGGAAGCAAAAGCACTATAACAATTATTTAAGCCAAAATATACTTCAAGTTGTACGGACTCAGAATGAGCTGATCAGCAATCATCACTTGGTCCATTCAAGATATACAAGCATCAGGCTGTGAAGGTTTTGTTTGAAGGAATGCACTCTTCCCATGGAGATCCACCTTCCATTTTGAGAGTTGCATTCCTTTTGTACACGCCATTTTTAGATACATATGATTTCACAAGGTTGCATCCAACTAAGTTCTATTAAGAGTAGACCCACTGAAATTGACAGACATGGGTTTAGTCATTTCAGTGGGTTTACTCTCAGTAGAACTTAGCTGACAACAACCACTGTCTCAATTAATTAGTCCTAGCTGTTGCCTGTAGGAAAGCTTTACAATTACAAGCTGCTTCTTGCTAACTTGGTTTCAATACTTTTAGTTTATTACATTTATATTCTAACCTCTCAGGGAAGCATGCACGGGCAATGTTCTCAACTAGAGTATGGTAAGCAGAGATCAGCAGTGTTGAAACAGGCAACATTTGGTACAGAAACAGCATGTGACTACTGCTTAATAAGCTACCAACATGGCTTTATTTGAGTGTTTCTGAAGAATTAAGTCTCATTTCTACACTGCTCGCACATACTTTCTAGGTGAATGTACTCCTGCGACCAGAGAACAGAACAAAGTCTTCCCCTCTAAATGACCACTATGTTCTGAACGGGAGAAAGGCAATTCTGAGTTAAAGGTTAACTATTTAATTGAGAATCTGAACAGGTTCTCTTCATGCAATGCATTTCCCAGCGTAAATCCTTACCTGTTGGGGTCTGAGTTTTACTGGGGTGGTGATGTCCACCTACTCCTGGCTGTGGAGGAGGACTCGCTCCTGCTTGTCCAGTACCTTGCGCTGGGCTCGTGCTGATCAGAGTTCCAGTAGGCAGAGGCTGGCCTCTTTTTAAGAGCTGCTTCTGTTCTTGTTGGCGGAAGCGTGGAGGCACCTCACGAGGCAGGTATCGGGATGCAGCTGGCTGCTGCCCATTGGCAGATGCACGCTTGCCATTGCTATTGTTAGTAATAGTGCTGGTGGAAGTACTGGTACTGGTACCGGCAGGTTGGGGCTGGCTTAAACTGGTCTTAATAGGTTCTGGCACTGTTGAAAATGAAAGATCAAGAACACATTTATTGGGCGAAAGAATTAAACAACATCCTTTTTAAAACACAGCTTAATTGAAAGTAGATCTCAGTCCACCTTTGTACATTTGTTTTAAATAGAAACTAAGTAGTTTCCCCCAAAGTATGTGTTATGGAAAACCAACACATTGTACATTTAAATGCAATCATTTTTCTAAAAAAATATATTTATTGGCAACATCGACCGATTATGAAGTATGAAGGGATCGTAAGTGATGTGCATTTAAATAATTTTAGAAACAGGTCCCTAATCCATTATCATGTCGTTCCCTAATCATGGCTCCACAACTAAAAAGGCCCTGTCTCATATGCCCATCTGCTTTCTGCATATGAAGGAATGCAAGGCAAGGCTTCAAATGCTGATTTAAGTGGAAGGCCAGGCACATCTAGGATGAGGCAGATTATTGAGAGAGTCAAAACCAGTACTTTGCAGTGGACCTGGAAACAAATCAATAACCATCACAAATGAAATAATATATGTCCCGTATTATATGCATTTTGAACCAACTGAGGTTTCTGAGCACTCACACAGAACACCTTAGAAAAACTTCATACAGCATAGTAACAGTTCATGCAGATAAAAGTCAGCAAATCATAGTTTGGTATAGTTTACACACTATAGGCCAGGTACCAAGTTGTTAGAATAATCTCAATATCTTCTTAACAAATCACAATGAAGACTCAATTTGTGCCTTCTCATAAATGTCAAACTTCACCTCTTATCTTGTAAATCAGCTGCTGTTACATAGGTACAAAAAGAGATGCCATTCCCTCATACCCTGCTTCTCTGAACAATTACAGAATAAAAATGAGCTTAAGTATTCTACAAAATTCACAGCAGCCCTTGTGTTTTACATTCTTTTCAACTTCATTTGTAAAGCTCAAAGTCAATGTGCTGCACTACATATACAGTACATTTAACACAGCCCAGGAATGTATACTCTGGGAATACAGATGAAATACTGACTTTGTTTAAACCTCTGCAGCTGCTCAAAACTAGAAACATTTCCTGGGTTTTTAATTGGAATGAAACCAGAGCTAGATCCCCATTGTAGTAACATTATCCAAGAACAATGAAGTATCAAACAGAGAAATGCTTGTACTGTATTAATCCCCACCCCACCACCCCACCCCCTGTAACCTGCTAAGGTCAATATCTAGAGATAGAGGAAATCACAAAGTAATTGATGGGAAAGTATAACATGACTTTTTTATCCACAACTGTACCATTAACCAGCTGATGCAGCAGTATTTGCTGCCAGAGTCAGGCTCCTGGAAAATTTTAAGCAATGTGATCCTATTAAAGCAGAATGTGTGTGGGTGTTTACTAAAAGGACTTTGGGGAGGAAATTAGCCAGTTTTACTACATTAATTACATTGCCAAATACAAATGTTTTGTACCATTTAAATACAGACATCTTAATACATCTTCACAGAATTTTCTATTTCCTACCTAATCTGATCTATTAGAAATCAGTTTCTTTTTTTAAAGTTACAGCTAAGAACGTTACCCAGAGATAGTAGTCCAAAATGTTAGTGCAAATTTGATATGCAACTTTGCTCTGTCGCCGTCTCGCCTTTTCTACAACAATTCTCCCCCCCTCCCCCATTTTTAATTTCCAGTATGCTCATCCTGTACCACAGGGGTGGAGAACCTGTGGCCCTCCAGATGTTGCTGGAATACAGTTCCCACCATCCCTGACCACTAGGCACGCTGACTAGGGCTAACAGGAATTGGAGTTCAGCTGGAATAGCTCAGTTGGTAGAGAAAGAGACTCTTGATCTCAGGGTCATGGGTTGAAGCCCCACAATGGGCAAAAAAGATTACTGCAGTGCAGGAGGTTGGACTAGATGACCCTTCTGGTCCCTTCCAACTCTACAGTTCTATGACTCTATGATTCTATAAAATATGGAGGGCCACAGATTCCCCACTACTGTTGTACAGGAAACCATAATATGATGGAGATCTAGTGTGTGCTGTTGACAGCTAGGCTCTCAAGCTGCAAATTCTAATAGTTTCCATTTTGTGGTCCCAAAAGCCCACCTGGCTTAACTAGCTTAAGTCCTTTGTGGGTTGCACTGTCAGCATCTGTCAGTCAGGCACAGAAGGAGCTGCCCTTTCATGTGCATGCATGCATGTGTGCACGCACACACACACACACCCAAACCAAAGTTTTTTCATATTAATATATGTTTGGTCAAAATCTCTCACATTCTGACAGGATAGTCTGCATTTGGGAATTTCAGATTTCCCAGTGTTTCCAGTGTACATCCTTCCTGGCTTTAATAAAATCAGAAAGGGTAACCAACATGATAAGATTGCATTGAATGTGAAAGGCTGCCATGGTGGCTTAAACCACAATTCAAAAAATCTATCCATTCTTTAGGACTGCACCCCTATGCGCACCTCCCCGAGAGTAAGTCCCACTGAACTCAGTGAGGCTTACACAAGAGTAGACATGCCGACAACTGCACTATAGAATACTCTTTAAGCATTTGAATGAACTTCTCAGGTTTAAGAACTGCATGTGCAAGTCTGCACTATTTTCTCCTTCATTCAACCATTTACCACATAAGGAACACATCCAGTTGTTCTAAAACTATTATGCATTAAACCATTACATTACCATTGTAAGCTCTCAGGCTTTTACTCCCCAATTACTCCAAACAAAAATAAACCTTTCCCTTGTACAATTTCTCAGGTTACAATCTTCTCTTTGGTGAAAGCCATTTGTTCACAGGAGACAGCACTTCTTTAGGCTTTGAAACAGAAGACATTGCATGTATCCATTTCACACACAGTGAAAGGCTAGTGTTTGTACAGGGAAGATATTAGAAATTGTAGATCTCTATGCAGGGTTTTGAGACAGGAAACCAAAATTGTAGGAGGACTAATTCAGAGGTGAATTCTGTATCATCATGCTAAATCTTTGTTGTCTGGCTTTTCTTATTCAGACCTATTCACTTATTTATATCAGCCACATGCGCACATCCCAGTTATGATGTGTGCCTCAGACCTGCCCTCCAGATTTCTATCAAACATGTCACACATGCTAATCTTGCCTGAAGTAATGAGGCCAAACTCACTTGGTCTGCGCCTGATTCTCTGGCGCAGAGCAATTGGGAGTCTAGCAGTGAGGGGGTGCTTGTGACACAATGCAACTGGCAGCCCACATGAGTTATCAGAATGGCTGAAAGAGCACAGAGTGCTAGTCAAATAAAAACATGGCCTTGGGAAATCCACCAATTCCAAGCACTGATCTAAGGCAGACTTTGCAGAAGCTGCTGTTTGATTGTCCTGCAGGAGAAAATCCAGAAGCACTACGATGGTTAAGTAGAAAAGCACAATGACAACTGAGAAAAGCCAATGGGCTCCACAAAGAACCTAGATATGGTAAAGAATAAAAGCAATAACATGTTTTATTTGTACAGAGGCAGCCTCAAAACAAATCAAAACAAAAAACTGCACAATGGAAAGGAAAATTAAATAGCAAATGGATTTGGAGGATAATATTAGAAGCTAAATGTTCACTTTTAAATTAAGACAAAACTGAAGAATAAACAATTCGGCTTCTCATCAACATAGCTCCCATTAGTTTTTAAAAAGCAGAAAATGAAAGAGGCAGCCTTAAAAACTATTCAAGACAACCACTCCTCTGTTAATTCTCATTTAAAGGGTCAGCTTGGACATTATGCTAAACAATTATATGCTTGGAGATATGACGCCAGAGTCCAGCAGTGACCAGGACCCCAAATTAGACATTACAATGCCACTGGCTAAGGTTCCTGGATCTGAGCCTGGTGTTGATGGTCAGAAGACTACTGCACCCAAGGCCGGCAGGCAAAAACCTGCTGAGCCAGTTCTCACAGTTTCAGGATCCCAAGAGCCAGGACTGTGGGGGATACCTTTCCCCAGATCTGAGGAAATAAATGCTTCCCACACCACCTCACCAGTCCACAGCACAGACAGCACACAAGGAGGGAGGCCATGAGGTGCAAGGTCTTTAGGTCAGAACTTGGCCCCTTTCAGAGATTCCAGTTTTCCAAAAGCAGATGGAACCTATGAGAAGGGGCTTAGAGGCAGAAGCTCAAAAGGCTTCAGTTCACTTCTAAGCCTTCCTGAAGCAAGTTGTTCACTAGGAAGTTTCCTTGGAACCGTAACAACAGACTCACCCTGCCCTGTGGGCTTGATCATGGGATCACAACAAGATGGGACATATTGCTAAAACTCATGCTCATTTACACCCCATCCTCCTGTCTGGGGCAGCTGTAAGGAGGAGAGCAGAAGTATTTGCTTCCAGTTTCAAATGAACCAAAGTTCCTTATTATTTGGGAACTTGAGGGAATTCTAGTTAGTGAAGAAGCCCGGATCATATACCAAGGGTTCATCCTGGCTTGTTTAAATTAATCATAGTTTTAACCAGGGCATTTTTTCAAACAGAACTCAGTTCTGGCACCTCACAGGTGGGTGCCATTGTCATTATAAGAGAACAAGGAAGGCATTCATGATGAGTTCCAGCACCTCTTTTTCTAGAAAAATAGCAGTGGTTTAAACCAGCCATAGTTTCAATAATGGCAGAACAGGGGAGGTGGGAGTACACAGGTCTGAGGCTCATTTGCTTAATCCAAACAAAAATTTAGTCTTATGTTCAAAAAGGCACTGTACCTGCCTTTTAGACATGCTTCTCTATAAAGTAGATATGTGCCACTTCAAATACAGCTTAACACACATTCAACACTTGCTTGATGATGTTATGTGCTGATGGGCTTTTGCAGCAAAAGTCCTTCTGCTTTACAAAATATCTGATATGCCTTCAAAGTATTTTGTTTTGCTTAAATACATTTAGCAGCTTGGTGGTAGACTCTGCTACTGCAGGTGACCTTTAAGGAATACACTTACAATGTATTGTATGAATTAAATTGACTGCAGTCCCTCAGGAAATGAATTTCAAGCCAGTC